CAGTGCTCAAAGGAATTCTTTTGAGTATATCATATGGAGGTTTGTGTAGAACAGTTTTTAAAACCTTTTCAATGGCTGGCAAAATTAGCTGTTCCCAGATACTATGCGGCTTTTCTGATTTTGCTGAGTAGTGAGATATTGTAAGACGCCCACAAACCACCATTGTCTCTTTTTGACGTTGAAGCAAACATATTGTCCACTGTGGGTCTCTTCTGAAATTTTTCTTTCAGTGTTTGAAAGTATTTCAAATCTTTACCTGTTTTATCAGGGTGATACCTTCTCAGATGATCCTCCAGCTTGAATGCTTTCATAGCGTCATTGCTTAATACTTTGTTGTATAAAAGTCACATGGGCAGGTGTTTGTCCGACAAATGAGGGAATGAAGTCAAACGTCAAATAATAAACTCTGTACTACCAACACTTTTTTTTTAGATTCAGCCGTTTTTAGTAGCATTTATCTGTGGACAAAAATTAAGCTATTTAAATATGATAATACATAGCAATCAAAATTGATTCCCAGTGTAAAACCTTATTTTAATCTTCAGGGAACTTCTATATAGATTTGATAGAGAGAAATCATGTACAGTTCATGTACAGTACCTATCATAGACCTTGTCTTTAAAGATAGGAAGGAAACCATTAATGAATATGTGTGTACCTAGTTGTAATTGACTTGAATATTGAACAATCTTTACCTCAAGTCATGTTGCCACCTTTTCAAAATTGCTGACCTGGACATTTTAAAATTAAGGTGTTATACTTAGAAATAAAAAAATTAGGTTTTTTTATTGTGAGAAGAAAATAAATATTTTTTTTTTATTAGAAGGTAAACATGTACTGTACATGATATATTATTAAAGTAAGACAATAATCACATGTGGCATATCCAAAAATAATTAATAACAGTCTGATGTCGATATTAATTGCAAAAATAATACATAAAAGTAAGAATGATAAATAATAATACATACCAACATAAATACTATTAAGTTATAAAAGATACATTGTATGAAATACAATACATAATATAAATATGAGACACATGCAATGTCATTTTAAAGCCAAGAACTGAACAATGCACATGACAATTTTAAATCAGTTGGGAACTGTGTTCAAACAAACCTAATATTTGCAAGTTAGAATTTTAAAAGAACATTTCTGTCACTTAGCCTAGCGAAAAGATGGGGATAAGTTTTGGTGGGTGTGTGAAGTTAGTCATTAACCATTAAAATAAAATATTTGCAAATATTTTTATAAATTTATTTTGTTTCATAATAATTTCACAATTTCTACAAAAACCGGACAAATTAATAATTAATCCAGACCATGAATTTAAAAACAGGCTTGTCTGGGTGAAAACTGGCCTGTGGCAACACTCAAGTCATTAACAATGTCTTTATGCAATCAGAGAAACTACAAAAAGAAAATTTTATAAAAAAAAATTACTTACTTTTCTGCCATACTTCCAAACAAGATGACATTAATTCACTTAACTAATATGTACCTGTACCTAGTAATTTATTTATATTTTTGAAAATATTGGCTTAACACTTTTCTTCTCAAAATTCAGAAAACAAATGAACTGTGTTTGTCTCTGACATTCATATTTATAATTGACAAATTAAACAAGTCCATGCAAGCACAATTGGTTCAAGTCTGCCCCATCCTTGCAAAGCTCTGGTACAAGTCTGGAAAAGCATTGCTAGTGGTATCAAATGTGCATGTTTTACAAGTTACACATACTGCGACCACAAAGCAAATAGCCTACTTACACAATTTTATGAAATATACATATAATTAGGAAATTTATAAGTCTATTATAAGAAAGTATTACATAAGTACCTACGTAAGTACTATCTGTGTTATTTCATTTACGGGAAGCCAAAATTTTGGTGACGGCCTGCCTAAATGGGATCCACTCTCATGGACCCTCAAATTTTTTTCCACTGACATGGACCCCCTTGCAGGTTGGAGTCGACCTCTGGGGGTTGATATTGATCACTTTAGGAATAACTGATATAAACCAATAATGTAATAAAAGAATTTGACTGTATATTTCTGTAATAAACATTACAGACACACACATATATATATATATATATATCAGTTTTATCAGTTTAAAGGCATTTTATTTGTTTCAAAATTTTCAATTTTTCTTCAAGCTAATAAACAATGGGCTTTCATTGTTTTGCATCAAATAATGGTTGAACGTTGATACCATCAGATTATTTGAATCATGTCAAAAATAGCAATCAAATCATAATATATAGAAGCTAAATCTTCTAAAAATGTAAAAAAAATAGTAACTATAATGATTAAGAAAAGAAATTTTTATTAAGTTAATACAGCCTACATTTTTATTATCATGTTTGCAAAGTAGGTAATGATTTTAAACTTTTATATTTGTGCATTACTTACGTTAAATTAAACTTAAAGTTGAACTGCCACGTACTGTAGCCAGATGGAGTTCCGCCCTCCTCATCAAGAAATGTTAAACCCAATTGTATAATTTTTAGCAGATCGACATTACAGCGTAACAGCTGGTATTGATATTCAGCACTGCTTTTAAATTCACCTATGGGTCGAGCGACAACACCGGGAAATTCTGTATCCTAAAAAGTTACAGTAAAAGAATTAAGACATAAAATAATTAAGTAAACACTACAAAGCTATTAAAGTATCAGATAAACATTAAAGGAATTCAACTTTTTAAAAATCACTAGTTTTTAATATCATATTGAGTTTCATTTTAAAAACTATTTATAACTTAAATTATGGAGAAAAAATTAAAATCTTAATGTACTTGAATGTTCTGAAGCTTCTCATAAGTGAATCAAAACATGATTCTTAAATAATAGATACAAATTAGAGTAAAATTGTAATAAAAAATTAAAATTGAAAATCAATCCCACACAGATGTTCTTTGAAGCAATTTTCAATTTTTTATTTCCATAATTTATTTACATCTAAAAAATTAAATATAAAATGCATATGTGAATAATGGAAAAATATAACATGAAAATACCTATTAGAAAAAATATTAGTGAATCAATTTATTTATATTTTAATAAAAGAAACATGTAAACATGCTATTATTCAAATAAATAAATTTTAATTGTAATTGTATAATAATGCACCAAAGAAATATAATTCCTTTAATTTTTATTGTAGGAAGAGTGAATACAGGGAATAAACTTACCCTGTAATTGCTATTTTTATACAACTTAATGTCAATTTCCCAATACAAAGTGATTTTTTATTTTAATTAAAAATTTATTTTGATGTATGTATTATTACAATAAATTTAAACTTTAACCTATTAATCTACAATTCTGAAGAGCAACAAAACTGACCACATTTTTTACACAATATTGTTATACTTTTATCCAATGCCATATTAGCTGAAAATATAATTAAATGAAAAAAAGTTCAAGGAAGTGTATATGTCAGATATTAAAAATACAAGAAATTATAGAATATAATATTAATCTGTCCACTAATTAGCATTTAAAAAAACTGGCACACCATTAAATTTTCTTGATAGTCAAGACATAAATATAATAGGAAAAACTAATTTCATTTTCCTTCTCATTGTTAAAAATTGTATATAACAAACCTATACAATAAAAATTACCAATTCATTTAAGAATATACTAATACAATCCAGAAGTACTCAACAGAGATAAATTACAAATTTACTACACCTGTGCATTTGCTGAAAGAAATTTTTTTATTAACAAATGTTTCCAGCCTACTCCCAGAGGTCATTATCAGGTTTTTAAATCCATTTTTATAAAATATTCCAAAAATAGAACATTCCATTTAAATTTTAACTTTTGAAGTATTCTAAATACAAATTTAAAGTTAAATGAATTACCTTATATTTTTTCATAATTTATTTATTTAACAAAATACAAACAACAATAAAATTACAAAAAAAATATAAAATACACTATAACACAAAAGCCAAATATGATTATAGGGGGATACATAATTCAGGGTATTTATGTCCTAATCTTTTTTCAATGATGTATTTCCAAGCTGAAGATAATGCATTTGCATCCCTTCAGCTTGAATATACTAACTATATGAATTAAATGCAACTGTTATTAACTTCCATTGGCATATATTTGTAGTAGTAATTACAAATCAACTTAACAATATCTATATTTCTCTGTACTTATTATTTTAAATTTCATATTATAGCATATAACAGCAATTTCAACTAATTTTATAAGAATATATCACATAAAAATTAAATATCACAGAGAAATCTACATTTGAGTGTAATCTATTATGATTGCTTCAAATAAATAAGTTGTAAAATTATTATCCAAATTATTAGAAAACAATACTAAATGCTGGTTTGTTTCCTTTATGTGCTACAAAATTATTACAAATACACCATTAAATTTCTCATATCTCTGATTCCAAAGATTAGCCATTTGCCAGACAGACTGGTCACATGTAATAGTAATCTATCAACAACCTCTAACCCACTAATTATACACCTCCCATGTGTCTAAAGCAGTGTTTTTCAACCTTCTTGAATATGCGACCCCTTTACAAGTTTAAAAAATTCTGGCGACCCCCCACAGCATATTAAAACTATGTCAGTGATTTTAAAAACTACGTATTTAATTTTCTTTCTGTTGAGATTTAAATATCGATCAAAAAACTAATTGTACTGTAAAATAAACAGCTTTCTCACTGAAATTGTAGTTTTTTTTATTGTAGTGTAGGACCTACAAACACTTGTCTTTTTCTTTTACCCGCGACCCCCCGTGTATGGCTTTGCGACCCACCTGGGGGTCGCGACCCACAGGTTGAAAAACACTGGTCTAAAGTATACCTTGGACTGCTAGATATTTTATCTTGGATTGATATGGACTGGTGTTTACACTTGACATCCCACTGACACACTGTTAAGAGCCATAGCTAGGGTTAAATTTAAGCAAAATAAACTAAGAATAACAAAAAATTGTAAAATCACCACCAACAAGTGTAGTCTAAATAATATAAATTATTTGTGGCTATCCAGTAAACTAATCTGGTGGCCACAGGAATTTCAAGTTCTTTCATAATTTTGTTCTGATCAGAGTAGGTGCCAGACATCAGTTGACAGAAATTCAGAGGTGTAGTACCTGTACTATCATTTGTGAAATTTAATATTAAATTAGTTTAAGTGACAATTTCACAATTGAATATCAAAATTAAATATCTACTTGAAAACAATTTTTATTCAATGATAAACATTGAATAATTTGCAATACATCAAATCATAAATAAAATGATATTTGATTAAAACTATTCTGGAGTTCTCTGTCTTTTGTAACTTTAAATATCAAAATATTAATTAAAGTAATAATTTTTTCATTCAAAATAAAGAATTTTAGCAAATTTAAGTTTGATAATTGTCAAAGTTCATTTTCATGTTTTTGCTATTTTCCTCAGTGAAATTTTTGTTAACAGTATCAATGATGTATAGTTAATTTGTTGCAGAGCTAGCTCATTTATTACTTAATAATTCTGATATCAATAACGTCTAAATTTATGTTCGTTTTAATGATTTGTCAAGAAATATATCAACGTACAGTTTTACTATAAGAATTAAGTTCTACTTGAATATAACTTATTTCTTTTTCTAATTTTATGAAAACAACTTCACCCTTGACAGCTTACCAAGAGATAAGTGTTTAGAGATAGAAATGAGCAATGGAATTTATGTTTGATGATCTGCAACCATACATCAGATTCCAAGTGTTGCAAGAAACATCTATGGTACAAGAACTTTCTGAACCAATTATAGATATATTTATAAAAACTCACATCAATGCATTTTTTATTATTTTACCTTTGTAATTACTATATATTACTATTTCAACTATTATTTGTTGTATATATTAATTTAAATATATTCTATATTTAAATTTAAGTGTGATTTGCTAACCCTGAAGATGAATTTGTAATTACTTGAAAATACTCACTTGTTTTA